GTGGTTGGCGACCAAAAATAGATTATGTAAAGGAGTATATATATTGGGACAATGATTTCATTTGAAAACTGTAATTCAAAGAATGTAATGAAATTAAAAGAAGGATAGCAATTGCATGGAAGAAATACTGGAGTTTTAAAGAAAACTATACGAAACTACTATCCTTCCTTGCTTAACTTACGGTTGTCAATGTTGGTCTCTCAAAAAAGAAGACGAAAACAATCTAGCCATAAGCCAAAGGAAAATGGTAAGAAGTATGCTGAGTATAAGACAGAAAGAAAAAATCGAAAATTCAGAAATCCAGAAATCCGTAACAAAAAAGCTTCCAGATGTCATAAAACCATAAGATCCCTAAAATGGAAGTGGGTAGGGCACGTATGCAGAACAGATGATAATAGATGGACAAAAAAAAGTAAAAAATAATGGATACCGAGAGATGGAAGAAGAGGAAAAGGTAGACCGAAAAAAAGGTAGGAAGACATTTTTATAGAAAGAGCAGGACCACACTAGATGACAAGAGCCAGGCATAGAACCTGTGGAAAACAATGGGGGAGGCCTACGCCAAGGAGGCGACTATTATTATTGAAAACTAATATAAATAAATAAAAATATAATTAATAATTGATAATATATAAAGTAATTAATATAATATAATAATTGAACAATATATAGTTAAAAATAATAAATTAAAATAATGTATAAAATTGATCAACTATGACGGAAATAAAAAAAATTTTTTTTTTATAAATATTATTTTTATTTTATTTTTCTTGAATTTTTGGCTGTGTGTAAATGAATAATTATTATAATTATATAACTATTTAGGAATGAATATAATTATAATATTAATAATCATAACTATTTATATTTTAACCTATGCTGACTATATTTATTTTATATCAATTTGATATATTTAAATATATCAAATTCAATAAAATCAATAAGTATTTGTCATATATATTCAATTATAAATATACACTCATAAATAAAATCTTATAGTTACCGTAACTCACCCTCCCACATTCACACATTCATTAACGTTTTACTCTAAAGGGGGCCCACTAAATTCATTAAAGATAATTTAAATTTAATTGTATTAAATTTTAATATATATCTAATTGTTTTAGCTATTTTTCAATTTGTTTAACTACCAAAATCTTTAACAGTGATATAGACAATAATGGGAGGACGCTGTAAGCCGAAGTACAGTAACTAGCTCGGCTACAGACACAATTTCTTTATAAAATTCGTTGGCCATTGTGTTATTATAATATAACGTTTAATTTAAATTATTATTTTTAATTTACTTTCTTGTATTTCTAGCTGTGTGTAAATAAATAAGTATTATTATTATACCATAATCATATAAATGAATTGTTATTAAGATTAGCATATACTTACACTATTCACTTTTTACTTGGAGTGCATCATACGCTGCAAATGAAGAATTAACATAGCGGCCTAAACAGATATAGGTATAGGCTAGTCACTGAACGGATTCACCTCCTTTGAAATTTAAAATTTGGACAGTAGCTCTAAAATGATAAATATAAATAAAAATAAAAATAACAAATGTGACTTAGTGCCGATATATGCTTTTACCCTGGGGGTGAATAGTACCCCATCTTGGAAGTGATAATTAAAAAATTAAAAATAACTCCAGTAATCGAATGACAATCACATTTTGAGCATAAAATAATGAATAAAGTTTTTCCGATTATCTAATAGATAAATTGGTCGATTTCTAACTTTCATGGATACCTAACAAAAAAATTTGACATAATTATGGAAAAAAATAAGAATATAATTTAAAGCATATTTACAAAAAATAATTGGTTTTGTTTAATGTTATGGCTTATACTACGCTTAGTACACCGCTGTTTATGACTCATTGAAGGCATTTTTATCGCAAATTTTTCTAATAGCTTCAACTTCAAATAGCAAAAAGGGTAAAGATTTTTCAGAAAAAAATATAATTACTTTTTTTAAATACATTATTAGACATTAAAAAACAAAACTATAATAAAAGTTTCAAGCTTAAACATCTCCGGCAATGTGTAAGCTTGTTAATATAACATATAACAAAAATTAGCTGATGTGTTGGAATTGAAAAAAAAAATCAGTAATCAATTTTGTGTCAAAATAAAAATTAATTATAGTCTATCAAGAATTAACTTCATTTATATCCGAGCTATGCGTCTCAGAAGTTACAATGGTTTGGAAGTTTTACATTTTGAAAAAATTGTTTTAAAGGAAATTTTCTTTTAAGATTTAAAAAAAATTATCAAGAATTTAGTTTACTTAGGATATGGCCATGTATTTAAATTTCATTTGCATGCAATGGGTACCTTTTTTAGCCCTTCAACACCTTTGAATGTGAGGGTCTAAAATCATCCCATGACAATGACATGACAATTTATGCAATTATTGAATTGCATAAATGCCATAAACGCCTGCTAACGGTTCATTTTCTAAGTGTATTTTTATATTAGGTCCTTACATATGAAGTTGGCGTTTTGTCGTACTGGCTAATTTATTCACAAATTTCTCTTCCTTGGTTGGGAATTCCAAATTCAAATTTATACAGCCATTTACACATGAATTTGTTTTTCGTTAGGACGCATTCATTTGTTTTTTTTCTTCTGTTTACGTCACCCAGTATAAAAAATGGAAAACTTCTTATATCGTGTTATTTACGAGTACGAGTTCCACCTTGGTACCAGTGCTGCGGAAACGGCTCGAAGGGTTTATGATGTGTATGGCGGTTGTGTCGCAAAAGAAAACACAGTGCGTTTTTGGTTCCAACGCTTTGGTTCTGAAAATTTCGACCAGTGGATGGCCGGAGACCCAAGTTTATAATCAAGAATTGAAGGCTATTGTGGAAGCGGATCCGTGTTACTGATAAAAACTGTTTTAATCCACTTGAGGCAAATTAGAAAGATTAAAAAGCTTGAAAGGTACCTCACGAATTAAGTGGAGCAAATTGGTAAACGCGCTTCGACTGCTGCATTACATTACTTAACCGGCACAACAATGAAGAGTTTTTTAATCGAATCACTACCTGCGGCGAGAAGTGGATTCTCTATTATAATCGGAAACGCTCATCGCAATGGTTGGACCCTGGCATGCCAGCCAAATTCTGCCCCAAGAGAAAGTTTACTCCAAAAGTTTTCTCGTAAGCGTTTGGTGGACTAGTGCCGGTGTCGTTCATTACAGTTTTCTAAAATTTGGCCAGACGATTACGGCAGACGTCTATTGTCAGCAATTGTAAACCATGCTGGAAGAACTAGCTGTTAAACAACCGAGGCTGGTCAAGCGCTCTCCGTCACTGCTACTTCACGATAACGCTAGACCACACGTTGCACAACAGACAGCTACCAAATTAGAAGAGCTTCAATTGGAATGTCTAAGGTATCCACCGTACTCCCCGTTTCGAAAAAGATGTTAATCTGTTGTACCTTGCTACAACAGATTACCATCTTTTTCGAAATTTGGATAACTTCTTGCAAGGGAAAACATTTAATACCGATGGGGCAGTGCTAATCGCCTTCAAAGATTTTATTGATTCCCGTCCGAATGGTTTTTTCAGTAAGGGCATCAGTCAATGAACTACCTATGAGATGGCAAAAGTGCGTAGATAACAATGGTTTATACTTTGATTAAATTAATGTATTATATTAAAAAATATTCGACTTTTTGTTCCTCCCATACCAAACACCAATTTCATATGTAAGGACATAATATAAATTAAATAACGAATAATCGTTTATTTATATCACATCAAATTATTTCACACAAACTAGGAATTTACTAAAATATGTAAACAACATATTCTGTTATGATATGACATTGGTCTAGACTCTTTAAAGATTTTGTATATTAGTTTTCAGGTATACGACCTTCTCATTCTAAGGCTCTTTACTCATGACTCAATGGAGCGCGATGACATTCGACAGACTTATTGGAGAATATACATAATTTAACATTTTTTTTGTCTAGATTATTTGTTAATTTTATTTATGTATTTAAGTATGTGTTACGATTTAGCGTGCATATGTACAAGTGGTTAGTGGGTTTGATCTGCGATTGCGAAAGAATTTTTCGCAATCGCAGATCAAACCCATGTCCAATTTTCACCTAAAATTTTACTGACTCGTCTAAAATAAGCAAAATTATTATATATCAAAATGTAGCTTATTTTCAACTTACTTCATATCTTGTAATAAAGTCTTAAAATAAAATCAGAATAAAAATTGCGAGGCTAATAAATATTTTCAAAAGTTACCCTTATTCGATTCGGACCCTACAATGACGGTTCGCTGCTCTACCCCAATGCGATTCGGACCGTACAATGACGGTTGCTACGTTTCATTTTATTTTCTACGGAAGTATATTCATTCGTCATAAGGTTTAAAAGTGCACATAAACATGTAAAAACTAATTAAAATTATCACTAATGATAGGTAGACACGATCATTAAAAAAAAACAGGTAACAGGTCAATCAATGTATGGAAAGTGGACATGATTCTCTAGTCGTTTGCAAAGGCTAGTAATGGGATTGGTGAAATTTCTTTTTCATTTGGCTTAGTGGGATATTGCTCTCTTTCATCATTCTATGTGTACCATTGGTTAGTGATTTTGACAGATTGTTTCATCTCATGAGTTATTAAATACTTGTGATTCCCCATGCATATTATAAGGGCGTGTGATTCATACGATAATGCTCGTCGTTATTGAATTGCATGAAAAGCCTTGTGTACGACACTAGTCGCAGTAGGTTAAAAACTGAACCATAATATGAAAAATCCCACTTAATCAAAATTTTACTGTCGCCCTATTAGAAAGGGACAAATGGCCTCTGTACATGATATTAAGCTCGGCTCGCCTTTTGAAGTACTCTGTCCTGTTATAAGTACTAAGTCCATTTAAAAAACAGAATTTACCATTACATAGGTTTAAAACTAGCCTTTTTTGAAATTGACAAAACATTTTTTTTATATTATTTATTATTCTCGTTGATGGCATCGGAGGGATAGTCCGCCGCAGGAGAGTCGCAGTTGCCCGATGGTGTTTCACCAATTATAGTTGGTATTACCTGTAGATTAATTGAAATAAATATTTATAATATTTTTCTTTAAGTAACGAGTACTTAACTAATCTATACTTATATTTTATACAGGTAAAGATTTTAATTATGTCAATTTCTAGGGGTTTGTAGGGTCTAGGGGTAATCTTTGGATATAAGTACATTAACTTATCCGAGTCCGATATTAAAAAGCTGTCACCAACAGGAAGTGAAATAGGACAGATTTTTTTTATGAGGGTGAAGTCACTGGAAAACAGTTAGTTTGATAAAATTATTCTTCGGCGATTATGTATGTTTCTTTTTTATGTATGTTCACCGATATTTCCACCAATTGTTGACCGATTTTCAAAATATTATTTTTATTCGACAGCTTAATGAACGAGGGTGGTCCCATTTAAAGGCGAATGGGCAAAAGTCGGCTTAAATTACGCAAATTACGCACTATGCTTTTATATATCAAAAATCTTCTCTTTAATTATAATATATTCTATATAAATACTATTTTAAAATTATACGGCGTTTAAAAGTAACCGTATCAAAACATTTGTAAACTAACTAATTTAGACTCATGATATGGCCTTGGATAAATGTCAACCATGCAACAATAGTCTCGTTAAGGCGATCAGATCTATTATAGAAAACTAAGGGATTAATCTACGTATCGAAAAAAATCAATTGTTTAATTACTATCTAAGATAAGACTTCCTTCGGTTTTCTTTTGAGCATGAACAAAGGTATGTACGCTATTTCATAATCGGGTTATTAATGCAATCGACCGGGTGGAGCTCCTTAATGACGCGTACAGACTGACCCAACGATCGGCCAAGTTAACGTTCGTCACTAATCCCAAAGAATAAGCTTCATTTATTCGTATAGGCATAAGGATAAGATTAACATATGCTATGGCTATAAAATATGGTTTTTAAATATGCTCCATTGTATAATGATGATCAATAAACAAGTACATAAATACGTGTGTTTAATTTTTAGTTTACATACTTGCTTCCCTTACTCAAATAAATATACGGTAGTCATCGATTATTTGAAATACATTATTCATTTTATTGCTCTTATATACGTAGATATTATAAAGACATAACCCCAAAATCTCTGTTGAATATTCAGATATTCTCAAACTCCGGCATAATTTTAAAATGTTTTTTTTCCTACTCATTCTAGAAATAATTATCTATAGTTAACCGTTGGTTTCAACAATGTCCACGGTTAAGAAAAAATTGCCGAACTCTCACAGTAAATTGCCCATTCTCCCTTTATCGAAATAGAAGCAGTAGTTTTCCTTTTATAACCAAATAAAATACTCTTTACCAGATATCACCTAAATCCTTAATATTTACATGATATGTTTATATTAACTAATAAAACAAAAGATTACGTAATTATGAATTCATTCAAAATCTTAAAGGAGGATTTTCAAATGCCAAAATCACTTGTGGCGGTTTTTTTATCAGACTGATGCCCCAAAATTTCAATTATCAAACAAAAAATGCATACTTTAGTAAAATTTAAATAAACTTTATTAAAAAATGTTTTCAATTTTCATATAAAATGCGAAGAAACTTTTCCTTAACCTTATTATACTCCGATTTGGGGGGTGGCAAACATGGCTAACATACGAGTATTATGTATGTTTGCTCTAATATACTTGATACTTAAAAATATTTGACTTTTATTTTAGAATATGAGTCAATGTTCGTGGTATTCAAAAGTACCAAATTTTCTGACCAGCAGTACTTATTAGTTTATTTAACATTGGCAAAAATACACTCTAATCGGTGTAGATTAAGTACATACATATGTATCCTACATTAGTCTTTTATTTGGAGTGATTTTTATGAACGTCGTTTTAGTGTTTTGCTTAAGGCACCAACTTTCATTGAGCAGGCGCTAACTTTCATTTGTGTGGTGGAAATATCGTTCAATAAAGATTTGCCTCGAACCCAAGTACCTGTTCTCCAATCATGATGAGGATCTGTGCAACCTTCTTGATAGTTTCTATGTCCTGTGGCGTTGGTATAGGCAAGCGTGCCTCTTGTGCGCGCGACTCCAACCGTGAAGTCAGCTCCGATACTACTGCCAGCGTGTGAGGCTCCGGGCCATGGTAGAACTGAATAAAGTTATTTCAACATATATTTATTTGTCCTTCTTACCTTGCGCTGTGTATTACACGTTCATTAATGAGCGCGTTAAGAATTTATGTGAACATTTGTAGTTCTCGATAGTTACTGCTAGGGGCGCTGTACCAGATTCCATACAAGCGATCGACGGTGAAAAAAATGTTAAAAAAAACTTATACTCCAATAATATATAAGCGCTTAGTTCTTTAAGGACAAAACCTTGAAAATATGATACTTATTAGCTTATTTTAACGTTCTTTCTTTGTACAAAGCCAGATGAAAATAATGTTTTTGTGTTATAAAGGCAATTTTCAATAAAAATCGTAACCATGATGAAAAAAATGATATATTTGTATTCGTTGTAATTAACGATATTACAATACAAGTAATGTCATTATTTTTTTTAAGTGCCGACTATACCCATAGGTTTCATGGTATTAGTAAGGCAATTAATTATACTAAAACACTCCTCGAATTATTTGGGTTAGGTGCTTGTGTTTCTTTGCATGTGTTCGAAACACTTATTTCCAAAGCAAAACCTAGGTGATAGGACTTACTGTAGGTGAACACCAACATGTTCTAAGAAGTAAAGTTACCACGATCAAATACAGAACAGTAAGTGATCGCATGGCTTCAGCCACTAACTTAGCTGAAACATTCTACAATATCATATAAAAGGGGGCATAATAACGTTATATATTATACCATACTTGACAATCAAGACTTGTTTTATAGTTTAAGTATGTAATTTCAAAATGGCTTATTTTCTGTAAATGCTACGGTAGGACAATTTATGCTTATTATCTAACTCAAAGAACTTTATGACTATTTTTCTCTGATTAATAAGAAAAGGAATTATATCACAAGTCGATATTTGATATTTTACACGATGTCTTTACTATTATTATAAAGAGGAAAGATTTGATTGTTTGCATCCAATAGGCTGCGAAATTGTTGTTCCGAATATAAAAATCATTTCACCAACTAGTTTTATCATATTGGGTTGAAAGTCCCGGGACAGGAGCAAGTAGTATATATGTATGTATTTTGACTATTTGCATATTTGTTCAAACTTAAAAATGGACCAAATAATAATTCAAAAAAATTATAAGAGATGACGATTTGTAATTCAGTTTACCGACTTTAAACTTAAAAAGTAAGATATTAATACTTATCTCAAATCAAGAAAATGCTATTGAAGTCTGGCGGAGGTCTTCAGTAGGTTTATTAATTATAGGACAGGCGCTCGACTTCAATAGAATTTTCTGGAAGAAGTCGCTTTTGAGATAAATATTATTTATCACTTTTTAAGTGATTAATAATACTCAACTTAGAGAGGTTTAATTTTGTAAGAAACCTCGGCCCTCAGCCCGATATCGGCATCGTTTATTGACAAGAAATCGAATGAAATATGTGGAGTATAGTACTGCCACAGTGTTTTGGTATTGCCATCTAAACATTTATACTAAGTTGTAGGTAGGTACCTAATTTCTTTTAAAATATATAATTATATGTCCTCATTATAAATTGATTTTTGAAATTATTATTGAAAATAATATACCCCTAACGTACGTTATGCATAATTTTATCGCGCATAATAAAAATATCAAAATTGAATCAACAGTTTTGATTTTAACAAAACAATTATATTGTATAAGTTAACAAAATCACGTTTTTTAATTTCTATACCTTTTTTGCTTATAGTTATGCTTCAGGTTCCATCCACCACCCGACTTCAATATAAGTTCCTTATATATTAAAATATAATTTGTAACTTTTTTAGGCATTTTTAAAATAACACTGAATATAACTTCCTTGTTTAGTATTAACTTTAGCAGATGGACGGACGAGCAGACATACGAATCGGAAAGGGAGGCAATTTAATCCAGCGCCTCATTTGGAACCATTGAAACAAGTTATACAAGTACCACATAAATCCGAAATGACCCATTGAAAATAAAAATATCAATAAACAAGCTGACATGCGAACGATGTTGTTTTTTCCTTTGGTGCACCGAACCCTAAAACCAGAGATAGATAATGTGATTTCATTATAGATAAAGCACTGCATGCAATAAGAATTCCTTTGATTAAAATATACGAATGAAAAAAACTAAATTGCACAATGAGACTGATTATTTAGAACATTTTCTAAGCTGATAAGTGATGATCTATCAATTCAGGACGTGAGCCTTATCTTTATCACGTACTTATAAAAGATAATTAAAAGTTACCTATGGGAACTCCTACGCACGAGTACGACTAGCATTTAGCCGGTTCTTTTCCAGTTGATAGAACCCTCGTAAAAGATTCCAAATGACACCTAGCCGATTAACTAACTAAACAAATCCTCCCAACAAAAAAAAATGGTTGTTGAAGAAAATAAAGTTTTAATATAGATAAAAGGTAACAAATACTTATAGTTTTAAATATATACCTCTTTAATTAGGCATTAATGTATTATAGGCTTGTTTTTTATCGTAATTTGAGTTAATTTTAGATCCGAATTTGGACAATATTAACCTTCATCGTCAATTCATTGAGCCAGCATTATGTAAATATTGTCGCAAACACCTACCGTCAAATGGCTAATTTTCAGGTGTTCACGATTCCCACTTTGAGAAACCCTGGATTAGACGAGCGATTGGACAATAAAGTAATGCTAAGAGTTTCTTGTTTGAATTTCAGAGCATTAAATCTATGAAATATGGGCTCTAATATAAAATGTAGGATCTTGAAATGCAACTCAACTGTGAATAATTGTATTTAAATACGATTATAAAAATATGTAGATGGGAAAATCATTAGCTGAAGTTTTTAAGGTATTTTGAAAACTTATGATGTATTTTTACTAATAGCAATTGTAAAAATAAAGCATGCTTCCGTGATAAGTTCTAAAAACTAAACAAACATATTCTGCGTCAGAGTATCCAATAAAATAATGTTTATCACATTAATTGAAAAACGGCATTATCTATGGTTATTTATTATACGATTTTATTTATAATCATTATGATGGCAATTTTGGTAGCAAATATTGTCACGTTTCTTGTCGCGAAAAACCATTAAACAAGTTTTCTGACATCTAAGAATTTGGCGGCAAAATATATTGGATACACGTTTTGTTTATTATACACACAGGTTATACACATAGATCCGTCTGAATGCAAAAATATTACCCTAGCTTATATTTCTCGGGTGATACCATTTTCTCCTAATCTGGGAAACCTTTTCTTCATAAGGTGTGTATCCTCGAAGGTTTATCCCTTTGATTATATAGACAGCTTTATAAAGTTTAGACTCTTCTCTCTCTTAAACTTCTTCGTTTGAGTTCGAGGGCGCGGCCTCGGAGTAAGGTTCCGGTATGATGGCAAATAGAAATTTGCAATCAAGAACAATGTCTTGAATACCGAATTGACATTGAAATTCGCCATATTTAATGGTTTTCTGAATAAAATTACTTAAAATTCTTCGTTTGAGTACGAGGGCGTGGCCTCGGAGTTAGGTCCCGGTATAATGGCAAATACAGATTTGCAATCAAGAACAAAGTCTTGAATACTGAATTGACATTGCATTTCGCCATAGTTAATGGTTTTCTGATTAGGTACAATTACTTATTATCTGCGATCAATAATATAGACTTCAAGGTTAGTACATCGAAGTTATGAATGAATAATGGTGAATATTCAAATTTTTATAATAAGTATGTTAAATGTCAAGAGCTTCGATAAAATAGGTGTACATTAAAAACATCGTAAATCTACTCAACGTATGCATACATTTATTAATATTCTTGAACCTAAAAATTGTATTTCTTTTATTGAAATAATAATAGATATGCATTTTTTAAAGTAAATGTACCTATTTAAAACATTTACTGGCTCTTGGTGGGGTTTAAAGGATTTGCCAATACTAAAGAAATCAACGATCTTGGATCGAACTGTTCTACAAAGTTGTCATCGTCTTTATCGTGAAACAAAGAGTTTGTCGAGACATAATTATGTTGTTGTCTGCAACTTACTGGTTGTTATCCAATCCACTGCAGTTGGAAGGTCGATGTATAAATCATATGAAAGATGCGTGACATCTGTAGTTTACGACGAAATAATGAAGTAAATTTGTAAGCGTTTATCGATATAAGCAGTTTCGAAACTGCAACTGTTAAGAGACTGTAATAAGATTGGTATATGGTCTGATAGTTACCATAGATTCTGGATTTAGTCTCTGTATGCAGGGCTGTCCCATCCATATAGACAAATTAGGTAACTGCCTAGGGCGGTCGTATTTGGGGGCCGGCATGTCATGGCAAACATATTATGTTTGCTCTAATTTGGTTCAAATAGAACGATAAAAATGCAATACCTACCTTAAAAATATTACTATTGTTCTTTGAACATGAGTTTTTTACTTTTCTTTTTAACTTTTCAGACCAGCAGTATCTATAAGGAGTTTCTTTTGGCATTGGCAAAATTATATACTTTAATTGGTGTACGTACAACAGTCTTTTATTTTTTTGTGATTTTTTTATGAGTGTTTTTCCAGTGCTTTGCCTAGGGCGCCAAGTTCCATTGAGCCGGTGCTGGAGTAAGGTTCAAATTATACTGAACCAATCTTAAGATCGATTATGATCTAAGAGTGTATTTTGGGAATAAATAGGTTCCTGGACGTCTTGAAGCTAACAACATCATAATATCTAAGATATCGTTCCAAATAAATATAATGTATGTGTACCAAATAAATATACTTTATTAGATTTGTTTTTATGGCCAAAGCTAGTTCGAAGTTCCGTAATGGTTATTGCCCCTAATTATAGGTATACAAAAGTATAATAGGTCAATGCCACTATGACTTTGTCTGAGGGTTTAGTTGGATCACCAAACCGTACCGTATTTTCCGTTGTTCGAAGCGGTACTCAAAATAAATGACTGTCGGCAAGACATTTTAAGCGATAATTACTCCATTAGAATGCCGTTTTGATGATAATCAATCCTTTTTGTGAGGATGTGAAATTAAAATATGTATGCGATTTGAAAGAGGAATAATAAACAAAAATGTGTATAATTTCAAATATCTTTCAAGATAGTTTAAGCACGTGTAGAAGACTTCATAATTTTTTTTGTCTTTTCCAAATTACGTATACTTTACTAGCTTCGTGGTCATTATACCTACTGATCTGTCGTTCATGTCTGATCATTCTGTCGTTTTAAAAACCCGTCCAAAAGTTGTTTTTATGTAGTACGCGCGGAAACAGAAAATGTTTATTGAATCGGATTAAATAACGCAGGTCTGGTTTAATCCGAAATTAAGAGGGCTTCTTCGAATTGACCACAGTCCTGTCACTCCAATAAACTTGTCATAGTAGAGATTAAAACAATACAAAGACTGGACGTGAAACTGAGATAAAGTTATTTTAATGCGCTTCAGATGCGCCAGTTGAAGTAGATTTGGGAAGTGATCAAGGTTCATGCGTTCTTTGCGCGGCCGCTCTACCGAATATCTAAATATTAGAAAGACCTCCAAAATGTTTATAAATATTACGTCTTAAAACTATCAAGGTAACTATAAACGACTCTTTTAAACAATACGTTTTATTTGTTCAAAGGTTTCTATCAAGTTGATGGCTTTAGAGGTTCAATATTGCAGAAGAGACCCTACAGCTATTTTCGCTAGGCGCATCGATGAGTTTTAGCAGATAATACTCTAGTTTTAGTGTGGAGCATTTTGACTAACCTTACATTTGGGTTCGCAGGGGAGAGCCTCATATAAAGGGAAGAAATTTAAATACTCTTTACTTTGAAATTTGAAAAGTAAAGAGTATTTAAATTATCATAAAATGTTGACGGTATTATTACTTCTAACATTGAGTTAGGCCACATCGCGCCATTAAGTTTTTATCGCTCTTTAATTTGGGTATTAATAATTTACGAAGTTTTTGGATGATATTGAACTCGGCTGAATATGTGGACTGCAAATAAAATAAAATAAAATTTTCGGAATAAAATTGGTGTATCATCACACTCATCATACCTACCAATATATAAAAAAAAATTATAAAAATTAACAGAAGCATAAAATGTGTTTATGTTGATGCGGACGAGATGGAACAATTAGACATGTGCTGAGGTGAAGGTCGGCGCAGGGTCGCAGATTTGCTGGCTAGTGATGTTAACGCATTATTTCTATATCTATATGTTGGCGGTGGATAAATTCTACTAATCAATAATGATTATGTATGTTTAAATCAAAATTTTAGCGATTTTTAAAGCAACAGGTTTTTGGATTTTAAAAACGCTTAGTCGGCTAGTGATTTGTTGTTGGTAAAGTTTACGACAACGATGTCGTAGAAAAAAATGACTTGTTAAAATTTCCATCAAGAAGAGGAAAAGCAAAATCTTAAAAACTATTAATTAGACATATCGATTTATTATACTACCTGTTAATTCGGAATATAAATAGAATGTTATTTTTTTTGCATAATTTGAGTCGTTTATTTATAATGGGTATTGATAAAATTTGAATACTCGAAGTTAGATGACAGAACGAGTTTTTATATTATTTTTTTCTTATGATATTAAAATGTTAGACGTCACTAATGGCCACAAGGGCGTTTATCTTCTGTTGCGACGACAGACGCGTTCATATCGAAGCTATGCGCCGTGCGTGCGAGCACAACCGGCCCGGAGCCGGCGTCGGAGCCAATCTGTTGTTCCTTCTTCTCTTTCTGATTTATGGTGGTCAAGTGACAAGTGAAACTCTGGTTGAAACTTTGGGAGGCTTTTTGCCACCGTTCCTGCGAAATAACATCGACGGATTAGTGAAGACTGCTTCAGAAAGTTGTACGTGGTGCTTGTGTTTTGGTGGTGTTGGTTATGGTCTTCTGTGGATCTAGTGTTTTTTTAGATAATTTAGATAAGTCTGTTTGCTGGACTATTTCAGTTAGCTACCAATGTAAATACGGCTTATGGTTTAGTTCATGACAATTATATGGAGTAAACGTACCCATTTACCTGCTAAGGATGGAATTGAGATTTCCGTAATACGATCGACAGTTTTATTTTCATGGTACTAGAATTTCAAGTGTCATCAACCAAACTACATTAGAGGATCGTAACAAAACACGGTATAGTCGCTTTTTTTTGAAGTAAGACAAGCGAATCCGTAAACCGATCCTGAATTTATTGATGTTAATGACAATATACATATAAATTTTCCCCAATTAGGGAATAATTTAATAAGGAATTTAAATATTCCATATTAATGATTAAATTTTATATTCGCTTACTTTCTTCTTTAATTGACTTAGCAAAAATATTGGCAATTAGAAGAGTATGATGAATAAAAATTGTATTAAAATTATTATAGTAATACGACGGAATTGTTATAACCTAGTAATTATTAACGTGACAAATGTATAATATTTGTTTTGTTGTGAAACAACGACGCTCGACAATATGACCTCAGTTGCAGGAAGCAGATGCTTACATAAGCAATTTTGTGTATGAATGGCGATGGATGTAAATGCTGTTTTATAAACGTTTATTATCCGTCCACGTTACGCCCAAGTATCTTCTACCTACGGGTTTTAACTGTCCATATTGGTTTCTTTAGCCTTGCAAGACAGAAAAGAATAACCCGCATATTTGAAAAAAAATACGCAAACAATTAGACAATAATTATTAGATAATATTATTAACTACATATTTACTGAAAAGAACTGGTTAAGTGCGAGTCGGATTAACGCCATTAGGGTACCCCAGGTACAAATTCCGTAGATTTTCTTGGTTTTCTCAAAATCTATAGCCGAGGAACTATTTTCTGTTATTTTACAATATTTTAAGGCTAGTAGTTGAGCGGACAACTTTGCACCTATTCTTTCCGTCTTCGTGGTTTCGCTCGCATGTACTGTTTAGTGAGATAAAATGTTAATTCACGCTTAGATGTATAACATGTATACTCTTATCAAATAAAATACAGTAACAAATTTATGTACAGTCAACTGCACGTCACAATACAAAACTGTCAAATTTCCCCACTCTTTGAGTTACGGAACTGTAAATCATTTAATTTTGCTAGTTCAGATACTTTATTGGTGAACGAATTATCTAATTATGTAATAAAATATCCCTATTTTCATATAAAATAGGTACACAACTAATCATTTTTATATTGTTGGTCTTACTAATTTGTTTTGCCTTTTCAGGTGAAATTCTTCCTCTGGAGATCCTTTACTCTCGACAGTATACCATCGAGCTACCTCTCGTGGATCTACTGGAGTGCACTCGCTCAAGGAACAGAACATACCGGCTACCCACCGCCCATCTTTACGTCAAACTCAAGCCCTCCCATCAACTTGTCCTTTACGTTCCTGGTTGGTGGAATCATCCAAATGACGAATCCTCTCAAGCCATAGTCAAAGCTTTACTAAACAAACATCCCACAGTTCTAGTTCTCGACACTAGTCTCAGCTTCAGCCTCGGATATGTAACCTCTGCATCAAGAGTTAATCCTTTAGCCCATCTTATTTACGATTTTATCAAAAATGTACACGAGAAAGGAGTTCCTCTCTCTTTGATTCACCTCATCGGGTTCAGTCTTGGCTCTCACGTAGTTGGTATAGCTGGAAAACTAGTTAAAAAAAATCTTAACGCTACGATCGGCAGAATAACTGCCCTAGATCCAGCTAAACCTTGTTTCAAGAATTCTTTGGATTACAGATTGGATAAGAACGATGCGGAATTCGTCCAAGTAGTTCATTCAAGTGCTGGTGTATTAGGATTGGAGCAGCCAGTGGGGCACGTAGATGTTTACGTGAATGGCGTGGCGGGCAAGCAACCGGAGTGCTTGGGTAGGGGTATCACTTTACAATGTGACCATGCGCAGTCGTGGAAGCTTTACGCTGCGTCTGTGATGGACGAAACAGCGATGATGGGTCGCCGCTGTAAGAATTGGGATGAGTTAAGTACTGGGAAATGTAATGGTACTATGACAGTCATAGGTTACAGCTGCGATAAGAGTTCCCGAGGTCTGTATCTATATAAATCCCGTCGTTTGAAAAGCAACCAAAACAAAATGAAGGTATTCAATTTATTCGATCTGCGTACTTGGTGGAATTGACGCGATGATGTTATAAGAAGTGATTGACTGTGATAATAATGAATAAGATATACTCTCTAAATAAATTATATGTTGATGCTTTGTTGTTGTTTAATAACTCTCTACCTATTATTGTAGAAATTAGATATGTCGGCGGCTCAAGGGGCAATTACGAAGCCCAAATAGATCGTCCATATCGGAGGACTATCTTTAAAAATAACACTGCAGGCGTGTATACCAATGTGGACTTATTCCATTTTATTACTTTTCATACGAAAATATAATGAGATCAGCGTGATGTCGTCAAATGTCTTTACTCCTCGACGATTGGAAACAGAATGTCTACCAAAATGGCGGCAACTTGCTTTTGTTAACGAACTGTCAAAGTCAGTGTTACCATTCTAATAAAATTAAAAGTATCGATGATCACGCCCTCCGTCGATGACGTCCGATCTCTATCGCCTCTAATCACACTTACGACATAATGATCGACCGTCTGACGTTTCACCAGATTGAATAATAATTCACTCTCGTTTAGGAATTAATATCGAATAATCGTGGTACAATCGATGCGCCGACAGATAATCAGATTTGAATTCAACACCGCGCACATCAACATAGATCTTTAATTTTGTTGCATTGAACTTTTATGTCGTGGCAATGCTGTGTTCGACGTCGATGTTGATTTTATTACAGAATACCAATAGCATTGCTGAAAGATTATAAGTAGACCTTTGAGGAGTAATAAAGTCAAAAGACAGTTGCTCTTTATATCATTCTTGATGCTGGCGACGACAAAATACTGAAAGACGGTTTTCAATTAACTAGTCCCAAACTATTAAGAATAAAAGTCTCCCTTGGCCACTAAGTGATATATTTACCAAATTTTTCTATAAAAAGGGATAGAAAAAATTGGAAAAATTGTGTTATAGGTAATTTTGTGACTTTTTTTATTTAGAAAATTGTATATGAATTATGAACTCCGATAGCATCTCCTAGAAATATTTGATCTCGTCATATCTTTGTATAACAGCACGTTTTACAATTCTGTCAAATCTATTGAAGTCTGGCGGTTATTTATAATCTATAGTTAACTTCCTCCCATCCCCATTATCCTACCTCTTTTATCAAAATTTAATCAGATGACAAAAATAAGTAATAAAAACCACAAAAAAGATAATGTAAAACAATATCGCATAAATTGCTCAGATACTATATTAAATAGCTTTTAGCACTTGTATTTAAGGAAATCGGAAACAACACCGAGACCCGAGATAATATAGAAAATTATTTGAATTTTAATGAAAAATGCTATAAACATTGCATGCATATAGTTCCATTAAACCTATCCAACCTAAACTGATGAATTTTGTAAGCATTGTTATTAAAGATATGTAACAGTTTACTAAATGAACTGTTTATCTTTTGCATGTTTAGCTGATGCGCTTAATTCCTTTTAACGTTCTGATACAAATTAAATATTTAAAGAAAAATAATTAGATACACAATTAATAATTATTTTATGGAGGGAGGCAGACACAGGAACGCAGTGTGGCTTCTGATGGTGAATTAGTATATAGATAATGATTCATATTACCTGTTGAGTACAGCTATTAAAAAAAAACAAAATTGTAACAATGTCAAACAGAAACTGATTCTCAAAATCTTGGGTCACGAAGGGCTTGAAAAATAAAGATAATATCCCCAAAAAAAAAAAGAAAATGATCCGGAAAATTAAGTTTTTATTATTACCAAGTATGAGATATAGAAAATTATTGTTAATCTTTATTGAAAAAGCGAAACGAAAATTTGAAAAACAAGAAATTTATACTGCAATGAAAGACAGAAAGAAATTATGGAATGTTAGTAATAGTATTACTAATTCAAAAAAAGTTTCTGAAATCCATTTAATTGGTTACTAGCCAATGTTTGTACACGCAATTCATAGCATTATCCACGAGCTTAAAAATAAATGTGTTATTGTTATTGACCAAATATCATGTAATATAAAAAAAAGATATAGTTACTACCTGGTTTCTGCTTTGAAGTACATATGTAATTTTGCAATATCATCAGGAACCTTCCCTAATGTGTTAAAAACTGCCTTAATAAAACCCATGAATGGGGGTGAAAGAAACTTAGTAAATAATAACAGACTGATTTCAATATTTCCCATTAAATCAAAGATTCTAGAACACCTTGTAAATAAACAACTAACAAAATATATAGAGATTAACAATTTGCTTGCAGACTTCCAATATGGTTTTCGTCCTGGTAAATCCACACGCGATGCGTTTCATAACTTCACCAACCTGATCATGACAAATCTTGATAAAAAAAAGAAGTGCCTTACAATACTCCTTGACATAGCGAAAGCCTTCGACGCTGTCTCTTTTCCTCACCTAATTAGCAAATTGGAAGAATCAAGAGTTATGGGTACTCCTCTTAAATTATTTGAGGATTACCTAAAAAACCGAAACTAAAAGGTTAAAATAGATCGTTGAGTCAATGATGAACAATTAATAACTTGCGGTTATCCTCAAGGAAGTATAAATGGTCCCACTCTGTGTCTGTTTTATGTTAACGGATTGTGCGACTTGAAGCTAACTAATGGTATATCGACTTTTGCAGATGACACTGCTCTATTTTTTACCAGTGATAGATGGGATGAGGTCTTTGAATATGCTCAAAAAGGCATTCAGAGGGTCAGCACTTCGCTTCAGAACAACTCCACATCTCTTAACGCTTCTAAAACAACGTGACTTTTGCTCATCGTTTAAACCTCCTTACACAAGAATCTTACAAAATCACTACGTATTCATGTCATAATGGTACATTAAATTGCTCATGTCCTTCTCTACAAAGAACAGAGTTCATAAAATATCTGAGAGTTATAATCGATCAAACCCTGTTTTTTCCTTTCCCTTTGTATGGGGAGGAGGATCCGGGATCCAGCAAGGAACCCGCCGGATCCAACCTCACAATCACTAGGCTACGTAAATTAATATATATTTTTTTAAATTTACATCATGTTGCGAAAGGACAAATTATTAAAATGATTTAGTTTGCTCTATGTCAATCGTTGGTACATCATTCTTCAACTTCAGAAAGATCAAAGAGCCATTTGAGCGTGAATGTGGGCCTCTCCTATAGCTTTCTTACTAATAAATTGTATGAAAATTGGGATGCTCTCTCGATAAGTCAATCTTTTATACTGCAAACCACTCTTAAAAAACATTCGCAAATAATTTAGTTACGACACTCATCTTAATAAGGATAAGCGCCAGAAAAACGAAGTTTGCAATGATCTAGTAACTCACGCCGTACTCAACAGTTTTTTTACATTTCTGAGTCCAATAAATTATTTTCATTTACAATAAATTAAATTAAATCTTATATTTATATCCCATGCATAGAATCAGTTGTAAAAAAACGCTAAGTGGATAAAACACTGAATTATGATGATACTAAAGATTTTATTCTTCCACCATTATAAGGATTTTTATTATCCAATTGTTTTAAATTAAACATTAAAAGGCTAGGAATATTATTGTTTATGGGTTACTGAAACTGCTTCAATTTTGTTTGGATTATTAGTATAGTCTAAGGCTAAATATTATAAGATAGGAGTGTGGAAAAAGAAGATTTTTTTATTCTATTGATTCTTATTAGATTCATAAAACTTTATTTAAATCTATTAGTAGTATTAATATCCACGGATATGAACGCTGACCTGTGTAACGGGTTTTGTAAAAAAGACCCAATAAGTAAATATAAATGGCAGATTGTAATTCCGTAAAATAAAACGTAATTAAAATAAGTAGTCATAAATAAAATTAAGTGGTTTTAATTAGGAAACTTAAATTCTCTCGCCCAATTTTTAATTCATAAATAGTTGTTGCAAGTTGTTGTATCTCTATATTTTTTTATTGTGATTCAATCATCTTTGTTTTGTTGTTTGATATTTCTAAGAAATCTAAAATATTGTACACCTTAGGTATATTGTATTAGATAGAACACAGTGGAACTATTATATTTTTAACTTCTGTATGTACTTAATCTGTGTGTCACGATAAAAAGATTGGTTTGATTTGATTTGACTTGTTTACAACAACAGCACCAAAACGCAATAGCTATTAGAGGTAGATATATTTACTACGAGTAGTTAGTACAAAAGCATTTGTTTCTTTCGGTAAAGTACACTTTTATACGTATTAGTTTACAATGTCACGAACAGATGGCGTCTTTACTAAAATGGACTATTTGGCAGCGTTCATGGAGGCCAAAAGTAAAAATATTGCGAGTTTTGTTATCTGGTTATCTGTCATACCATACCATGTACTTGTATTTTTTTTTGAACTAATGATATATGGCACTCGAAAAACCTCCCATCTCTTATTGCGAAGAAAACGATTTTGTGGGTTGAAAGTTTGTATGGAATCGTTATTGAAAGTAAGTAACTATACTAACAGATGAAGCGTGAGCAAAATCTAGTAAGTTTTAAGATATTTAAATAGTAACACTAGTAACAGTTAAGATATTTAGCTGTAACAGTTTATTAGACCTTGAATTATTTCGTAGGTACTCAATGCTTACGTGCCGACGCCAGATGGAGCTACTTGTTTTCTTTCTTAGAGTTTTAGAGGTTTTCCTAAAGTTTTTTTCAGGTGGAGATTATTTCTCATCATACCTATTACGTGGCGTGGTAATAAACAAATCAAATTCAATTTGAATGCCTCTATACCTACAAGTCCATCACTATACCTACAAGTCATCGGTAAATACTAAGGGCCCATGTGCACTACACTTAATTTTCATGTCCGGCGGTCCGATTTTTTCAGGTCCCATGTCAGGCCATATATAGGTAATGCTAGCCTGTGCACTGTCAGGAATTTTACTTTTCTCTATTCCGGACCGGTTTTTTCAGGTCCGCCATGGTGGTAATGAAAAACGTGTTTACGCTTGTGCACTGCTGTGTTCGCGATCCGGAAAATTCATAAGGAATAGGCTTGGGAAAAAAT